CCCGGCAGATGGCCGCACCCGTCAGCCCGGCGCTCATACCGCGGGTTGGATGTCGTGAACTGCAATCGTCACACGACTTAAAGAACCGTAGTTCTCGTCATGAATGTTTGTCTTGGGTTATTTCCATGGGCTAAGAACTCCTCAGCCTGCCACCGCGATGGAGCGGGAAAGCTTAGCCGGCAGGGACAGGGCACGGTGCCGTTCTTCCCCGAGGAGGTGTTACGGTTCCAGCTAGTGGTATGAGGAGAGAATCCTCCATCACTTCTTGAAACCAAACCTTTCAAATCACTTCAGCACAAAAATTATCCAAAGACAGTGCTCTTTTTATTTTATTATATATTACTATAGCAAACCATTTAAAACCGGCACAAAGGCTACAAGCACCACTACTAAAATCTTTTACAGATTTTTTTTTTTAAACGTGCCATTTTAAGACAGTAATTCCAGCCCGAGATGTGTCAGGAGGGACAAAGTTACCTATCCTATGATGTCTGTTCTTTACACATAATGTGGAATGGAGTGAGGGGACAGCAACTGAGACCCAAATGCAAAGACAAGCTAGTAACAGCGAGTCAGAGATAGGCTGTTAACAAACATTTTCCATATCTCCATCAAAATGACCTACAGAAAAAACCCTGATAGGCTGGTTCCAGCACTTTGAAAACATGTTAGTGAGCTTCAAATCACTACTTGATGAGCAATAGTAGAAAGACAGGAAGCATTAAAGCATCCTACACATTTTGAGCATCTTCAAAACACCATCCTTTTTAACTTCCAAAAACCTTTAATAGCTGGCTAGCCCACAGAATTCAATAAAATCCTCTTTAGTTGCAATATAAATTTAAAATCCAAGATCAAAGTACTTTATTATATGAACATTTTATTATCTAGATTTTACAACCAACTAGAATGCATAGATTTGGTTGAGTATTAAAGTAAGCAGGCCAACTTATTTTATTTCCTTTCTCTATTGCCTGCATTTTCTGATGGCTCAATTAAAATAAAAATAATTTTGTTTTTTTTCTAATATTTCAAGGAAAATTGAACTTTATCTATTTCTTACAGCCCTAGGAAGAGCTTGTTCTTGGGCAGAATCATCTCTGAAGTCAGTGGAATACCATTAGGCCTTTAGTCTACATGCTGAAAAAAAAGGGGGTAACAAAAACTATGTAGAGACTTTAAAATGCACATGTGAAAGGGGACTGCAAATTGACAGATGAAAGTACATCCAACATCTCTTACTGTATAGTCAAAACACATTGTTTCGCTTCTCCCTTTTGATCAGTTGTGATCATTTATGATTCCATTTGCCTTTACATTCTGTTCTTGGTACTTGTGAAGCTGCTCCATGAAGCCAGGATTTGGACAAGCTGCAGGCCTTGCGTTTTTCACCAAGGAAAAGGCTTTATCAAAACTCAGTCCTTCTGAATTCATTAGGAAACCAATGACTATTGCTGCTGCACGGGAGACTCCAGCATTACAGTGGACCAGCACCACACCATCCTGCAAGAAACAAATGAAATATTAGTTGGGATGTTCATTAAGTAGATACCAACAGGTATTAGAAACATTATATAAAAATCTATTGACTTATTAAAAGTTCCTTGCTGAGCTCAAAGCAAATATTTACACATATAAGTAACTCGATACACAGATATATAAGCCGAAAATTAAATATTTTTCTAACCAAAGCCACTTTCTAATTATCAAATACCTCAAACCTAATTCATCACTTAGACCTAAAAAACATTCCGCTGTCCCTTTCCCCAAGACTTTGCAGCAGCCCCCTCATGGGAAAACCAAATCACAGGCATCTGGGTACTAAGATATCTGATACTAGGTGCTGATTTTAAAATAGATTTTATTTGAAATATAGAAAGGAATTTGACTGTATCTTGTTACCAGGTTAAAAACATAGCAAGGCAGCAAACAGCTAGGCACAGAGGCAGAGTTCAGTCACACACTTCTTGCATACTCTGGAGTTCTTCAATGAAGATTCTGGGTAAGCGGGATCAAGCATGCGAACAGAAAAATCAGGAAAGATATCATGTGATTTGCAACAAATCTCTACCTCTTCAGCACACTGCTGGTACAACTGGTATAGTTGGTACAACTAAGGTCCCTTAACTGGGGACTAAGGTATAAAATTCCAAACTACTGAGCCTCCCATAAATTCATAAATGTTTTTCCTGGGGTTTAAATTCAGGCTTATCCTGAATGATCAATAAAAATAATGTTTTTATCCTACTTAAACGTTTCCCACGCAATCTTTGAGACACCTGAGCGACTCTTTAAAAGTCACTGCAAGTTTTGTTAAGAAATAACAGGCTTGAGTTAACACAAAGCAAACGAGAGCATCTAGTGCATCTTAGGCGACGTTTGCAAGGCCCAGGCTCCTTGATGTCATCGTGTTTGCTATGATCTGGAAAAGGCTCAGTCCAAACTGTCTGCCAGATGCCACTTTCACCAAAAAAAGCCAACCCCAAACCCCTAGCATCTCCATATTCCAAGTAAAGATACTGAAACACAACACAATGTGCAATACTTGAGGCTAAAAAAGTATATTCTAGACATAAGCAGCCTGCTCTTGCTGCCCTTAACAGGTACAGATTATTCAACAGGCATTTTACCCAGAGGAAAAAAAGACCTTAAAACCATCAGGATTCCTTTCCAGGAACTTGATGGCTTTTGTTACAGACCTGGGAGTTGCAATTATCTGGCACATTAGTAAACACACAAAGCAGAAAATGGTTCATGCTCCAAAAATAACAAGACAAAGAAGTATGAAATTGAGTGTTATTATCCTTGTTGAAGAAATGCCAAGCTGAAGCTAGAGGAATTACTTGCTCAAGTTAACAAAACATGATTATGGCAGAGCTAGGAACCGGATCTAAGCTCCTGCATCCCAGCACAAGGAGTCACTATACCACCCTTCTTTGCAATGGAAATCACATCCCCTTTGCGTGTCCTGCTGGAAACAAATCTCCATTCCCTTTCTCACATTGACGGGCATGCTTCCTGATCACACAGCCTACAGCAGAGTGGAAAGCAGACTTGTCCATCTATTTCATCTACCTGAGGAAGTGCCAGTGGTGACCTGTAAATCCGCTATCTCCTTTATAATAATGGCATAAAAATTATGAGATGAAAAATTATATTTATGCCACTGCTAATGAAGCAATTGCTGAAGCTGATCCACTGTAGATCTGGAGTAGTTTTTACTGAATTAATGGGAGTTATTTTAGCTATAACGTACCATAATTGAGATCTATATCTAGCAGTGGCACTGGGGGTAAAAAATAGGCATTGAAAGTGATCCTTTTTTTTTCTTCTTTGTAGTGTTCATGCTTTATTGCTTTATTTTCCTCTTTCACATTTCTTTTAAGTTGGAGGTTTTTTAATGACTGTTCTGTTGTACATTGCCACAAACTATATAGTGATATCCACAGAACAGACCTGAAAATTACTGAACATGAATGAACATGGGCAATAACATTAAACCAAATTTAATATTGAGAACATTTATCTTTCCTCGCTAAACCCCATTGTTTCTTTATACAAAAATGAATGTGGCATGTAATTCTTAACTAATTTTGTATTAGATATGAATACAGAACAAAAGTGAGAAACAGATTGCAGATATGAAATTAGCCTCTATTTACCAAGAGCTCCTTGCTCTGATCCTGACAGCCTAACCTTTGCCTACCCAGAAATGGTCCATGGTCGTGCAAGAACCTCTTAAGATTCAAGACCAAGTTGTTTTTTAAAAATTTTTTATACAGAGGGAAGCAAAATCACCTTCCACCATGAGAAATGGTGATTATACACAGTGGGAGAAAAAGCCTCACTGAGGAAAGAAGTGAGAAGCATAAAGCTTTTGGTGAGGAGCCATGGGATAATGCAGTTCCTTAGGGACCCACTCTACTTTGCAGTAGTTCCAGGGCTTTCTCTTTAGGAGGGAGAGAGGGAGCAATAAGGAGAGATGTTCATGAATGAGCTAGGATTTCTTCCCAGAGCCTGGAGAGACAAGATTGTAGAGGTTTTATAATTAGATATTAAACACAAAAAGAATATCCCTCAGTCATAGTGCTATGATCTGACATGGGTCACCTAACATGTCATGGAAAATCTACCTGTCAGTTTGCAGCCTCAAAGAAAAAGTGAGCTCTGATCAGTATCAGAATTTGTACCACGGTGTCTACAGACTTGAGCAGTTATAGTTTTCAGTCCTCTTACGAGTACTAGCTGTCAGCGACTTACTGAACAGTGCAGGCTTTTCTTGCATTCTCAAATTCAAGTGCTCTCACATTCCTTCATTAAGTTAACCATGTTCTAGTAATAATTTCTCATATATCGCACTCTCTCACCAGTGAACATGTCTCCCTCCCCCTGACTGGAGATCAAACAGTAGTATCTCTTTGTTATTACTTAAACAGAAGAGCCCTTCATGATACAGTTTATCATAGGCTCTTTTAAGACTATTTTGACAAAGCAAGTGAAGTGATTCAAACTATCCAGAGATCTGTCTCTGCATACTATCACATGCTTCATGAACTGATCCTGGAGAACATCTGTTCCATCAGCCACTTCCTCTTTTACCCAACTCTCCCATTAAAAAAAATATTAATATTGCTGCAAAGAAAACTCCTTAGCTTACAAAATAGTAACTGGAACACAAACACCTGAGGCAGAAAGCAACACTATGCAGTTATGAATGGCAAGTCTCATTTAGAAATGAAGTGGAAACCGTAACCAGAAACCTTGAAGAGGTCATTCAGTGACAATGCGTATCACATAGCTCGTAAATGATAAATGAGAGAAGGAAAGAACATTGTGACACACAGAAACCTGGGGCAAGATTATCTTGTTTTATCCAAATCGATGTTAATAATGAATATAGTAGATATGATGGAATAATGTGCAATAAGGACTGATTGTCAAGTCATAGTGTTGATACCGAAGCAATGGTTGTCACGAGTTACACAGTAAGCCTGAAACAGGAGTCAGAGACGGTCTCGGTTACAGACAGGTCTGCCAACCAACCCCAGAAGGAGTCCCTTCACCCTATTTCCTATGCCATGTCTTTTTCAAGACTTTGTTAGCAGCTAAAATCACTGGTTGGCTCCAAGACTACTCACACATTCTCTGACAGTCTTGATACATAATTGTTTGTGGATTCATAGCTCAATGTGCTGCATCTTCAATGGATGATCAAGGCAAAGCACAAGGATGGTGGATGGCTGCTGACAAACCACCCAGATCTCTAAAAGCCCTGTTAGCCTTGCTTCTAATCCCAAACAACAACCCTGATGGATAAATTATAGAAAGTAAAAAAGTTTCTTCTTTTCTCTCTGTCAGATGTAGTGACTTGGACTTACAATGGGATTTCTTTACCTAAAGTCAGACATTGTTGCAGCTTCATTAAAGAAGCATTTCTCGAAAATATGTAAGACAGCCATTCTAAAAAACCAATACTGGATGAGATGGGGATTAACGGCAGTGCCATGTCTCTAGGAATGCTTAGAAATTGCTTGGATTCTCTATTCAAAATTTAAAAAGGCAATGGCAAAAATATTCATTTGATACCATACTTTCTTTCGACAAAAGAAGCTACTTCAGATTTTAAATAGGGTAATAAATAATTTAAACAGGATAACTAGTAGCATTAATTATTGATATACTGTACCTCGATCTTTGCTTTCTCAATAAACTCAAAACATTCTGGGAAATAGGAGGTAATATCTGTTTCTGGGAGGTCCAGAATAGAAATAGTCTTGTACATAAAGTCATTGAGGAAGGCATTTTGGACTCCATATGCCACATTTAGAACATGAGTAACCTAAGTAAAAAAAAACAAAACACAAAAACAAAAAAAAGGAATTTTTTTTTAAAAGGCATTTTCTGAAGATAGCAAGCAAACTCAGCAGTAGCAAAAGTAAATTATTTTTTAGGCGTACACAGACGTAACTTAAAAAACTGCATTGTTCAGTTTCATGTACATATGCTGTCTACGATATGCTTTTCTCCAAGCAAAATTGTACTCCATGTTAAAATATATTGTGATAAATTTCAGGTTTGGGTTGTTTTTTTTTTTTTTGAGAGGAAATTAAAAGATCTGTGCTCAACCAAACACAGACTAATGTGAGGTTTTCAACAGAAAAGGAAGTCGTCAGTGCACAGATAGACAATAAAAGAGAAAGCGATAGGAATGAGAGCACAGACCACCCAACAAGCCCACAAATTTCAAGCCTGCCCTAACCCATCAGGTTAATGTTCCTCCTCCTGAGTTACCAGCACCATTTACTGCAGCAGCAGGATTTCAGAGTGAACTCCACCTGCACTTGGCAGGTGAGACCACCTCTGGCCTCCTGCCATCTTTGCTCTGGCCAGGCTACGGCCAGGTTGTGGGTCACTTTAAGTGACATTTAGATGGCACCAGATGCCAGCCTGGTGCCCTCACTGTCCTGCACCAGCACCACTGTCCGAAGGCCGGTTACAAAGAAGAGTAAAAGCACCAGAGGCCGGGACAGACTTAGAGCTGCTGCTTTGTTTTTCTTCTTTCATCAGTCCCTACAAGGCAAGCTGCCCGGCCTCTGAAACTCAACCGCACAGGGGAATGCAGGGATCTGCTCCAGAAAACAGCCTTGCAGCAAAGTATCTCAGCTTCTGGAGAAGCCCGCAGGCATCCATCCACCTGCAAACGCAGCAGCCTTCTAAAGCACCAATCTAACATAGTTTTTCTTAAAGTTACTTGAGAACACTTTAGACTTTTTAATTTACAAAAGAAAACCACCAGCAGGCACCACACGAGACGCATTTGCACTTGCGTGCAACCTCACCTTGTGCTTCCTCATGGTCTCCAGGTCGTGAGCAGCATCCTGCGACCCTGCGG